AGACTGTGTGTTTAAATTCAGCTTTGGCTGATAAAATCTAGTGTTTTTATTTTCTTTGGGTAAGTACTCAGAAGTGGTATTGATCATATGGTAGTTATATTTTTAAGTTTTTTGAGGAAATTTCATACTTTTTGCATAGTGGTGGCACCAATTTACATTCCCACCAGGAGTGAAGAAGGGATCTCTTTTCTCCACATCCTTGCCAAAACTTGTTACTTCTTGTGTTTTTGATAATAGCCATTCTAACAGGTTTGTGGTGTTATCTCATTGTGATTTTGATTGGCATTTCCCTCGTTATTAGTGATATTGAACATCTTTTCGTGTGCCTATTTGCCACCTGTGTATGTCTTTGGAAAAACATCTATTCAAGTTATTTGCCTATTTTTAAGTCAGACTGTTTGGTTTTTTGTTATTGAGCTCTTTATATATTTTGTGTATTAGACCCTTACCTGATATATAATTTGCAAATATCTTCTCCCATTCAGAATTTTGCCTTTCTATTTTATTGATGGTTTCCTTCGCTGTACAGAAGCCTCTTAGTTTGATGTAGTCCCTTTTGTTTTTTGTTTTGTTCACTTTTGTTATCTTTGCCTGAGAAGCCAAATTAAAAAAAAAATATTGTTAAGACTAATATCAAAGAGTTTACTGCATATTTTTTCTTCTTTTATGGTTTCAGGTTTTACATTTAAGTCTTTAATAAATTTGAGTTTATTTTGTGTATAGTATAAGATAGCAGTCCACTTTCATTTTTTTTTTTTTTGCATGTGGCTGTCCAGTTTTCCCAGCACCATTTATTGAAAAGACTGTCCCTTCCTGACTGTATATTTTTGCCTCCTTTGTCATAGATTCGTTGACTACATATGTGTGGGTTTGTTTCTGAATTTTCTTTTCCATTCCATTGATCTATGCATTGGTTTTTATGCCAATACCATATTGTTTTGATTATTACAGCTTTGTAGTATAGTTTTAAATCTGGGAGCATGATACCTCCAGTTTTATACTTCTTTCTCAAGATTGCTTTGGCTATTTGGGGTCTTTTTTGTTTCCATACAAATTTTAGAATTATTTGTTTTAGTACTATGAAAAAATGCTATTGGAATTTTGATAGAGATTGCATTAAATTTGTAGATTGCTTTGGTAATAGAGACATTTTAACAATATTAATTCTTCCAATTTATGAGCATGAAATATATTTGCATTTATTTGTATCTTCAATTTCTTTTATTATTGTCTTATATTTTCAGTATGCAGGCATTTCACCTCCTTGGTAAAACTTATTCCTAGGTATTGTATTCTTTTTGATGCCATTCAAAATGGAATGGTTTTTAAAGTTTTTCTTCCTGATAAATAAATAAATTTCTGTTATTAGTATATAGAAACACAACCAATTTTAATATACTAATTTTGTGCCCTGAAACTTTACTGAATTCATTTATTTGTTCTAAGAGTTATTTGGTGGAATCCTTAGGGTTTTTATATATAGAATTATGTCATCTGCAAATAGTGACAGTTTTACTTCTTTCTTTCCTATCTGGATGCTTTTTATTTCTTTTTCTTATCTGATTGCCAGGGCAAGAGCTTCCAATACAATGTTGAATAAAAGTGGTGAAAGTGGGCATCCTTGTCTTGTTTCTGATTTTAGACCAAAGCTTTCAGCTTCCCACTGTTAAGTATAATATTTGCTGTGGGTTTATCATATATCACCTTTATTATGTTGAGGTAGATTCCCTCTAGCCTCACTTCATTGGAAGTTTTTATCATAAATGGGTGTTGAATTTTGTCAGATGCTTTTTCTGCCTCTATTGAGATGATGATATAATTTTTACCCTTCATTTTGTTATGATGTAAAGTAATTGATTTGCAGATGTTGAAGCATCCTCGCATTGTGGAATAAATCCCCCTTGATCATGATGTGTGATCCCTTTAATGCATTGTTGAATTCAGTTTGCTGATATTTGGTTGAGGATTTTTGTTTGCATCTATGTTCATCAGGGATATTGACCTGTAGTTTTCTTTTTTTGTAGTGTCCTTGTGTGGTTTTGGTATCAGAGTAATGCTGGCCTTGTAAAGTGAGTTTGGAAGCATTCCCTCCTTTTCAATTTTTTGGAAGAGTTTGAGAAAGATAGGTATTAAATCTTTGGAATTTTCATGGAATTCACCAGTGAAACTGTCTGGTCCTCGACTTTTGTTTTTTGGGAGGTTTTTTATTATTGATTCAATTGTCTTACAAATAATCAGTCTATTCAGACTTTCTATTTCTTCATTATTCATAAAGAATAGTAAAGATTATATATTTCTAGGAATTTATTTATTTTTTGGAAAATCATATATTTCTAGGAATTTATTAATTTTTTCTATGTTGTACAGTTGCTGGCATATAATTATTCATAGTAAATCTCTTTTGATCTTTTGTATTTCTGTGGTATCTTTGTAACTTCTCTTTCATTTCTAATTTTATTTATTTGAGCCTTCTCTCTTTTTCTCTTGGTGAATCTCGCTAAAGGTTTATCAATTTTGTTAATTCTTTCAAAGAAGCAGCTCTTAGTTTTATTGATCTTTTCTATTGTTTTTTATTCTATTTTATTTATTTCCACTCTAATCTTTATTATGTCCTTTCTTCTACTACCCTTGGCCTTTGCTTGTTCTTCCTTGTCTAATTGCTTTAGGTGTAGAATTAGATTGTTTATTTGAGCATTTTCTTGTCTCTTGAGGTAGGCCTGTATTGCTCTGAACTTCCCTCTTAGAACTATTTTTCATGTATCCATAGATTTTGGGTTGTTGTATTTCTATTTTCTTTTGTCTCAAGGTATTTTTAAAATTTCCCCTTTGATTTCTTCATTGACCCATTGTTGTTCAGTACCACATTGTTTAACCTTCATATACTGGTGATTTTTTCAGTTTTCTTATTGTAATTGATTTCTAGTTTTATATGGTGTGATCAAAAAAAGATGCTTGAGAAAGAGTTCAGTCTTCTTAAATTTATTGAGATTTGTTTTGTGGTCTAACATGTGATTTATCCTGGAGAATGTTCCATGTACACTTGCAAAGAATATGTATTTTGCTGCTTTTGGAGGGAATGATCTGCATATATTTATTAAGTCCATCTGATCTAATGTTTTTAAGGCTGATATTTCCTTATTAATTATTGTCCTGATGATTTATCCCTCAACATAAGTGGGGTATTAAAGTCCCATACTATTATTATATTGCTGCCAATTTTCCCCTTTAGATCTGTTAATATTTGCTTTATGTATTTAGGTGCTCCTAGGTTTGGTATGTAAATATTTACAAATGTTGTATTCTTTTATTGGATTTACCCCTTTGTCATTAAGTAATGCCTTCCTTTGTCTTTTACTACAGTCTTTTAAAGTATTTTGTCTGATATAAGTATAGCTTTCTTTTTATTTCCGTTTGCATGGAAACTCTTCTTCCATCTCTTCACTTTCATTCTATGTGTGTTTTTAGATCTGATGTGAGTCTGTTGTGGGCACGTAATGAGTCTTGTTTTTGTTTTTGCTATCCATTCAATTACTCTATATCCTTGATTAGAGAATTTAGTCCATTTACATTTTAAGTAATTATTGATAGGTATGTACTTTTGCCATTTTGTTCATTGTTTTCTAGAGGTTTTGAGTTCCTCTCTGTTCCTTTCTTCTTCTCTTTCTGCTTCCCTTGTGGTTTTATGAATTTTGGTGTTATTTTAGATTCTGTATCTACTATAGGTTTTTGCTTTGTGGTTATTGTGAGGTTCATATATAACAGTCCACATATAGAACAATCTATTTTAAGTTGGTAGCAACTTAAATATAAATGCATTCTTTAAAAAATCTACTTTTTTACTGCCTACTCCTGAATATTTTATGTCTTCAATGTCATAATTTACATTTTTTTTGTGTGTATCCCTTAACTGATTATGTAGTTACAATTGATTTTACTACTTTCGTTTTTTAACCTTAATACAAGCCTTATAAGGGATCTTTACTTTCATATATTTTCTTGTTATTAATTAGTGCCTTTTCTTTTCAGCTTAAAGAAGACCCTTTAACATTTCTCATAAGACTGGTTTAGTGTTGATGAGCTCCCTTACCTCTTGCCTGCCTGGAAAACTTTTAATCTTTCCTTCAGTTCTGAATGATAGCCTTGCCAGGTAGAACACTTTAAATATATGATGCCACTCTCTTCTGGCCTGCAGAGTTTCTGCCCGAAAAATCAGTGGGTAGTCTTTTTTATTTTTAATTTTTTAATTTTTTAAAAAGATTTTATTTATTCATTTGAGAGAGAGAGATAGAGAGAGCACACATCCGGAGGGGAGAGGGAGAAGCAGGCTCCCCGCTGAGCCAGTCGCGAGTCTGATGTGGGGCTCCATCACCCTCATAAATAATCCAGTCCCCTCTCAAACTACTGCCTTTGCCCTGCTTTTTGGAATGAGTGAGTTTACACAGGAGCCCCTCAAAAAGAGTATCTCAGATTCCCACAGTTCTTTGGGTCCCCTGGATGTAAGCCCCATTGATTTTGAAAGCCAGACATTTTTTGTGCCTCCTCACTGGTGTAGGTCCTAAGGTTTAGGATGCCCAATGTGGGGTATAAACCTTTCACTTTTCAAGGAGAGGTTCTGTTCTGTAAGATCCCTCCCTAGTTTGTGCTGCCATGTGTAGATTTTGGTAAGACTTCTTTCTCTCCTATCCCTCTTCCTCCCTAACTCTCTCTAGCCCTTTTATCCCTTGTGGAGAAAACTGGTCAGCTAGTTTTCATGTTTTTTTTTAAGTGGGAATTAATCCATATGTCATTGTGGATTTGGAAGAAGTAAGTTCAGGGTCTTTTTATGCTACCATCTTGGACCACCCTCTCTATTTCCAACATATCTTAAGAAATCTGAAGAATTTCTTCACCTTAACCAATTTGAGTAAATGTGATTTTGTGGGTTTTTTGGTTGGGTTTTTTTCATTGGCCTCAAGGACAATCTGACCTTCTCATTTATTGTCTTATAATAAAATGTACAGGCATTTCAAGAGATGAGAGACAGGCTGCCCACTCAGAAGCATCATCCCACCCAGTAGGAAGAGAACCCAAATTAAGGATTCCAGAAATTCCAAACAAGCAACAATGTGAAAAAGAAGCCTAGTGCAGCAGAGGTGATCTGGATCCAGGAAGAAATGGAAGATGCCTATAATAAAAACGTAAGTCTTTAATTATAAAATGTGCTCTTGCTTGTCTTTTTTGCAGAATTTTAAATGCTATTAGAATTCACTCAACTGCTTTCTTCCTCCAAGACTGAATCATTGCTAATGTTTACTAAAGAAAAGTGCATTGTCTCTTGCTTGGTCTTTAGAAAGATTGTTAAGTTTTTCTCATCTCAGTGAAAAAGGTAATTATCATAGTGGACGGATTCAATTGCTTAAATTATATTTTGGGAATTGAATTTTTTCTTGGGGTCTTACTCTTTAACTTACTGGCTATTTGATCTCAGTCACTTTTTAAATCTCCATCTACCACAGTTTCCTAATCTGTAAAACTGAGATAATAATAGTGCCTATAAGCACTTGATAAGTGTTAGCTATTGGCAGAATTATTGTTAAATGAATGTTCTACAGTAGCCTTCCTACCCTTTTACCTGATGACTTTCGAGTATAAAATGTCTGGCAGGTAGAATACAGTGATATCAATAGTGGGCATTACCATTAGGCCTGGGATTGAACCAGGTGTTGAGAAAAATGAAAACATGGTCCTGACCTTAGACATCTTAAAATTTATTTATGTGCATAAAAATATGCAGTAGCAAAGTTGTATTCAATTGTGCAGATTTATTAAGCAATATACTTTGTGTACTTTTATACATATTATTAATCAATAAAAAGTTAGAACAAGAAATAGACAATTGCTATGACAATCCCCTAATGTGGGATGATAAAAAATAAAGACACTTATAGCCTGGTTGGAATTAGAAATTGGAATTAATTAATTTTTGGAACCACCACACTGATAATAAAGTAGAAATCGTCATGAATCACCACTAATTTGGTTACCTTTTTAGAATTAGAGTTGGTTCCCAAACAAGATGAATATCTTTGCCTGCTTATAGGACAACTAAAATAATTCACTTGTTCTGTGTCTATACTATTTGAACATGGCCTTCTAGAAAGTTTCAAGGAAGTAAGTCTTACAGAAGAGTTTGCTTCATTCATATGTGACTTGCCAAAAAGCAAGAGAGAGTTTTTCTTCTATCTGTAGCAGAGAAGTCCTGAGACATAATGTCTGCCCCTTCTTATCATAAGCCCACCCCTAAACCACTCATTTAGCCTCGGGGGATGAAGCTCTCACTGCCTGGCTTATAATATCATAGAGGGTGAGAATATTGTGACTGACAGTCCCCAAGACAGCATGTTTTGGGAGAGATTGTTCGTTGAAGGAGATGAAGATAGGCAAGCAACTCACATCTGTTTGCATAACATGTAAAGAAGTTTAGACATTCTCAGGCTTGATCAAATTTTCTAAGTGGAGATAAGGGGACCAATCTAAAGATAATTGCTGCAATCTGAGTAGGACCAATGAGGACAATAGCTATGGAGAAGAGATGTGATAAGGAGAGATCTGATGGATGTAGTATCTATAGAAATGATTGACTCATTGGGTACAGAGGGAGGAATCCAGGGTGGATCCCAGATATCCAGTTTGGGTGACTTGGTTGAAGGTGGTGACAAACCTCTTAAAAAAGGAGACAGGAAGAGAAGTAAGTTGAGGCAGAAAGGAAATCCTAAGTTCAGCTTGGGACATGTTGAGTTGTAGAAAATGATAATGAATTGGAAAAACATAAGTAAAACCATACTGTAAAGATTTTAAAAAAATAGATTCTTTCAACAAATCCAATATTTACATAATTCAAAACATCTATAGAAAGAAAAGAAAGAAGAAAAAGAAGAGTTCAGTGACTGAGTTTGTTCTGGCAAAACCAGCTCATTGTGCACTTTGCTTTATTTGGGTCCCTAAAGCAGCCTTGGCCTTCTATTAAGAATATCTTTGTTCCACTGCATTTTGTTACTACTGAGAATACCTCTTTAAAGAATATCATTTTTCTCATTTCAAAATAATTCATACCTTTTAGAGAACACTTGAAAAGACAAAGTAAAACAATACATCATGTACAATAATAAATATTTTGACACAGTCTATCCTTTGTAAAATGTTTCCAGTTATAAATAACATGTCATTATATGAAATAGTCTAACAATACAGAAAAAGAGTAAAGATCACTTAAATCTCACTACCTTGAACTAACCTGTTAGTGTTTTGTCTATGTTTTCATGTATCTCAGACACATGCACACCCACAAATTCACATTTACTTAGATGGGGTCATATCACATATGCTCTTTTTATAATGGACATCCATGTATTTTTTTAAACTGTTTTATTATTTACTTATGTTTCTTTTTTGTTTCCTTCCTTTTCTTTATTCCTTTATTTTCTTTATTCTCTGTCCAAAACATCTTATATTAATGATATATATGTATATATGTATTTTATATTTAGTAAATTACATATTATATAAAAATGTATACACAAATTTTATATGTGTATGTTTAATGGATATATACAAAACTATGGAGGAATTGGTAATTGTTTTAAAATTGTTTTTAAAAACTAGGATCATTAATATACAGTTATATACACTTTTCTTGCTTTCCTCCCTTTCTCCCCCATTGTGAAAATCCTGCCAAATCTCTTGTTTTAGGTATCACATTAGATTGTCTCATCTTTTTGAAAGTAACTGTCCTAAGAGCAGGAACAGTGTTGTATTTGTTTTCTGTAACAGACAGAGACATAAGAGTGAATATACTGATATTATCAATAGCTTGAAGCGAGGCTATTGAGAATGAAAATATTTGGGCTGAGTAATTTATCAAAGCTCATTTATGCAAATCATGAAGTGACAACTCAACATCCCATGAAGCTGATAATATTATTATGCCTTCCCATTTCACATGAAGAAAAGGAGGTGTATTGACTTAAAATAACTTTTCCAAGAACCTGAAACCTGCGCATTGCAAAGTACTGCACGCCAGTCTCACCAATGCCAACCAAATATGTTATCCCTCATGTTTTGTGCAATAAATGGCAGCCATAATAAAAGCAGTATGCCCTACTTAGGTAAGAGAGTAATTGAGTCTTGAGGACTCACACCATGTTCTTTGCCTGGAGCTTTTCGTGCTCCCTCCATCGTCATCTTCCCCTTTAGAGGTCTTTTCAGTGAGTAGTGGGCATGAATTTTCACATTCCATTTATAGAGGAGAAGAATGAGACACAGTAAGTTTATTTTATCAAATGACACGCAAGAAGTCAGTAAAGGAAAAAGACAAAGAAACCAGTTTTATTGATCCCCAGGCTGTAATTCTGCTTCCTAACAAAACCTGAATTCTGGAAAACCCCGTTCAGCTTAAGTTTTGTTATAAAAGTAAATCTCAGCACTTGGTTAATTTATGGCTTTAAGGAGAAGAAAAGCAGGAAATATGGTGCTTCATTAGGAGCTGGTACATAGCTGGGAATGCAGAGTCAGTCTGGGTCTCTCCTGAGCTGTGTGTGCTGCACAGATGGTCTGCATCAAAATTTTCCAGAGAGTTTGTTGAAAGGCAAAGCCTGGGTCTACCCACTGAAGTAGAATCTGGAGGATGGAGCCTGGAATTTGGAAGGTGGACTAGAGGATACACTTTTAATAAACATGGCTGATAACTTTTATACATATGTACATTTGAGAACAATTGTTATGGCCTCCAAAGGACTCTCTTGGATCTTGGGTTAGTGGGAAAGGCAGATGCATACTGTAGGCTTTTGGAGAAGTTACTTAAACTCCCTGATTCTTGGTTTTCACACCTATAAAATGGGGATAATAGCACTTATTAACACATGAGGTTAGTGTAATAATTAAAAATAAAATATGTAAAGATTCTGTACCTAATGATTAACTATAAATGCCATCAAGAACAAATTAATCATAATTAGAGAAAAAGCTTGTGAGCTTTAAAAAACATGAATCTGATTAACTTGGTGTCACTTTCAGTTTAGAAAAAGTCTTGAAGAAAGGAAGTTAGGAATTCAGTGATACACAGTGACTAAATTCAAATGAAGGGCAAGATTTAAAACTTCTGTGTGAAGCACCATCATTCCCTCACGGCATTCTTTAGGAGCAGATAGATAGGTAACATAATGGGAAAGCGGACCCAGGCAAAGGCATGCAATAGAGGAGGGCAGTTGCGAGTCCCATTCAGATGGGGTGCTGCTGTGTAGATAATGGTGGTAAAACTATGTTGACTCTGGTGCCAAATGGTGAAGCAAGGATACCAAGACAACCTGGAAAATAGCAATATAGATACAGACCTTAAGGAAAAGATTAAGATGTGCCAGGTTAGGGAAAAAATGAAAAACAAAACAAAACAAAAAACCCAGAATCTTTGTGAATTATAACTTTGTAAATGCATATGATGGAAAAAGTTCATACCTTTTCTCAAAAAGGGAAGCAATTAAAAAATGAAATTTGGAACCAATTCTAATGAGCACTGTAAGAAATTTTATCAAGGGAGCTTAGATGTGACTAGAAAAAAAATCACAATCTCCCATAGCCTTAGAGATCTCGACAGTGGAAAGAATAACTAATTGTCTCTTACAGCCTGTTTCAGTGGGAGAAACCTCCCCCTCCCCATTTTAGAATAACACAATAAAATACTGACTTTGGTCTTATTTAGTCTAGGTCCTTTCTGAATTAAGAACATTAACAAAATATCATTTCTGTTAATAGGTTTCCTATGTTGTGCCTCTTGTTTTATGTTCTATTATGTATTGTTCTTTTATACAAAACCAAATTAATCAAAGAGAGGGAAGAAAATGTTAGTTACTATTTATTGGGTTTTTAGCTAAGGCTAAGATTATTTTTTTTTCTGTTGAGTTGTATGAGTTTTTTATGTATCTTCAATATTAACCCCTTATTGTATATATGATTTGCAAATATTTTCTCATTCAATAGGTGGCTTTTTCATTTTGTTGATGGCTTTTTTTGCTGTGCAGAAGCCTTTTAATTTGATGTAGTCTCACTTTTTTTATGCTTTTGTTGCCTTTGCTAAATACTATTATGATGCTCATTTTACTTAGGAGGAAATTGAGTAGCAGGCTCAAAATCATTGAACTTGTCA